GTGTACAAAAATCCTTAAACCCGCCTTAGATCATCATCTGGAGGAAAGAAGGATGTAAAAAGGAACCAACTGGTGCTCGAGGCACCGCCTGAGTTAAGTGGTAGGTGATCCAACGAGGTGACAGAGTGGGACCGGAAAGGGCAAGGAGGAGGTTTTTGCATTGGGGTTGAAATTAGGATTGGGATCAGAGAATGAAAATTGAAGCATTGCTTTGTGAATAGATACAGGATGGTGGGTACTGTTATCTGACTGCTGTTTTGGGTGGCGCTGTCGAGTTTTGAGCTTTTCCAATTTGCTGAAAGCGCATGACTACTCTTAATTTTTTTTTTTTTTTTGAACAATTTGACATGTAGCGGACGGTTTCGCTGGTGAGGTACAGTTTTTTAAGGTGGTTAATATCATTAAATCTGAGAAATTTGGTGTGATTATTTTGATTTTAAATATCTACCTTAAATTAATTTTAATAATGGAGAATCATTAAAAAGTTTTAAAAATTATAATATTTATATAAAATAATATACAAATATAAAAATATAATTTTTATTTAAAAATTAATATTTTATAATTTAAAACAATTTAAAGTTTAAAACATTTTTTTTGTAATTAAAAATTAAGTATAAAAAGATGCCAATGCATAAAGAAATTGTATGACGGCTGTTGTCAATCTTCTCTTTTTTTCTTTTTTTTTTTTAATACGAGAGAGTAAAAGGCTTTAAATTAAAAAAAAAAAAAAACCAAAGTTGTGAACAGATAAAACATCTGATTCAGATTTAGTCAAAGAAATCAGCGAAGAGCAAGAACTGCACCCAGGTCAGTGTCATCTGCCATCTTATCAAATGCAAGGCATTTTGGTTTGGCTTTGCAGCGTATTTAGGGGGCCATCGATTACAAGCATTGAGCCGCGAACTAGTCATTCATCAATCTTTAATTTATCCAGTCCATCAAATTGTGTGAGATGGAAATGGAATGCGATTTCCTGATTTTTTAATAATGTTTTATTTTATTATTATTTAACCTTTAACCTTTTCTTTAAAAGTAAATTCTGTGATCGAACTCGATGAGTATTTTTTTTTGTTAAATTTAATTTTTTATTTACTAATTATTATTTTTTATTTTAGTTTAAAAAATTTAATTTCTTTCGAAATCATTTATAAATTTTTAAAATCATTTTAAATTCATCTACCTAACAAACTTTCCTTAGTGTTTTTAACGAAATTTTATGAGATGTTTATGTAGCACCAGTTATGTGATATATACAATTTTAAAAAATTACATTTTAACCTTAAAAACTTCATAAAATTTTTAATTAAATTTTATATTCAAACCATTTCACAATACAATTTACTAACTAAATTCTTAAATGAACTAAATTATAATTAATCAAAACTAATGATAAATAACTAAGATTGTTAGCTTAATTTGTTAATTAATTAAGATTATAATATTAGTTTTATAAAATTAAAATTAAAAAAAATCTTTTACATGTAAAAATTTTAAAAATGTATTTTCTCTATCTTAAAATAATAAATATTTTTGAATTTATCTTTAAATTAAAGATTTAGAAACAATTTCTATTATTACATATTTTATCTTTAAAAAAGAAATAAAAATCAAAGAACTTTTTTAAAAATAATGATAAATAAGACCCAAATTTGAGACTAAAATTTAACTAATATCAT